AAAGCCAAATCTAGTCTCTGTACCCTGACACTGAATGAAATCTCAGAGACAGAGTTTGGACTTGGGCTCTGTTTTGGGTTCTGAGGGTGGGGTGCCTAGGTCTTTAAGGGCTTACTCTTTATTGGTGACTTTAAAGCTTAAGGTCAGGAATTAGGGTAAGGAACAGGAAAAGTTGTTGGTTATTTAGATTATCCAGGTTTTTTTTTTTTTATTGGAATACAGTATAGTTGACTTACAATTCAGATTTACACATACATATATATCCACTCTTTTTTAGATTCTTCTTCATATAGGTCATTACAGAATAACAAGTAGAGTTCCCTGTGCTATACAGTAGGTTCTTATAAGCTATGCACTTTATATATAGTAGTGTGCATATGTCAGTCCTGATCTCCAAATATATCCTTTCCCTCCTCCCCTTGCTTCTCCATTGGTAACCATAAGTTGATTTTCTGCATCTGTGACTCTATTTCTTTTTTGTTAATAAGTTCATTTGTACCATATTTTTTAGATTCCATATATAAGTGATATGATACGGCATTTGTCTTCCTTTGTCTGATTTACTTCACTCATCATGGCTATCTCTAGGTTCAGGGCTTTTTTTAAAGGGACTGTCTTGGGTGAGAGCCTGGTTCCTTATCTAAGTATTCTGCCAGTAGCTGTGTCATGCAGTTTGCTATATGATTATTCATGATAAATGCCATAAAAATGGATACCTTGGCAATCAAAAGCTTAATTGTAAGTTACATTACAGTTAAATGGTTAATGCTAAGCACTTATACCACATTGCCAATTACATGACTCAATTTTTAAGCAAAAATTAGCATTTTGGAAAACTTTTATCAGCATTCCAGTTTTAATGAAAAAACTGATGAAACTGATTATGATTTTTTATGCTGTATAATGAAATAGGTCAATATCAGACATAATCACCACCTTCCTAACGGTCAGTACATGAAGGTCCAAAACCATGCATATGTGAGAGACCCATTCAAAGTGAATGAATCACCAGTGGGTTTTAATATAAGAGAAAATAAAGAATTCACAGACACAGTTACAGATTCCACTTTGCAAGCAAACTTTACAAAATTAATAGTTTTTTTGGTGTCATATCTGAGAAACATATCTGTCATCATCTGAAAAGATGGTTAAAACATTCTTCTCTTCCAACTGGACTACTGAATGAAGTGAGCTTACCTTCATTTTCTTCAAGGAAAATAATATATTTCAATAGACTGAATGAAGAACCTGATAAATAAAGTGCATTGTTTTGCATTTTTGAAAATCTATTTTTTGCATATCTTATTGATGTGGAAAGTACAGGTCTTTTTATAAAAAATATGCTAATCCATAATAGGTTACTTATTGGCACTTTTAACAAAACATATTCATTCTATCATTTTTGGAATAAATAAATATTTATTCTAAGTCTAATATTTAATATGGCAAATATCAATAGATATTCACACAGAAGCTTTCTGTGATCTGCAAACATTTTAAAGATTGCACAGAAATACACTTTGCACAAAAATGTGTAAATAAATTTTCTTTTTACAGAATGTATGTCACTTCCTAAACTGGACATGGAAGAACAGACTGGTTCCAATTGGGAAAGGGATACGTCAAGGCTGTATATTGTCACCCTGATATTTAACTTATATGCAGAATACATCATGAGAAACACTGGGCTGGATGAAGCACAAGCTGGAATCAAGATTGCCAGGAGAAATATCAATAACCTCAGATATGCAGATGATACCACCTGCAGAAAGCAAGAAAGAAAGTAAAGAAGAACTAAAGAGCCTCTTAACAGTGAAATTCTTTGAGAGTGAAAATGTTGGCTTAAAGCTCAACATTCAAAAAACTAAGATCATGGCATCTGGCCCCATCATTTCATGGCAAATAGATGGGGAAACAGTGGAAACAGTGAGAGACTGTATTTTGGGGGGCTACAAAATCACTGCAGATGGTGATTGCAGCCATAAAATTTAAAGGTGCTTGCTCCTTGGAAGAAAAGCTATGACCAACCTAGAGAGCATATTAGAAAGCAGAGACATTACTTTGCCAACAAAGGCCCATATAGTCAAAGCTATGGTTGTTCTAATAGTCACATATGGATGTGAGAGTTGGACTATAAAGAAAGCTGAGGGCTGAAAAATTGATGCTTTTGAACTGTGGTGCTGGACAAGACTCTTGAGAGTCCCTTGGACAGCAAGGAGATCCAACCAGTCCACCCTAAAGGAAATCAGTCCTGAATATTCATTGGAAGGACTGATGCTGAAGCTGAAACTCCCAATACTTTTGCCACCTGATGTGAAGAACTGACTCATTTGAAAAGACCCTGATGCTGGGAAAGATTGAAGGCAGGAGAAGGGGATGACAGAGGATAAGATATTTGGATGGCATTACTGATTCAATGGACATGAGTTTGAGAAAACTCCAGGAGCTGGCGATAGACAGGGAGGCCTGCGTGCTACGGTCCATGAAGTTGCAAAGAGTTGGACACTACTGAGCGACTGAATTGAATGAGCATTGAATTTGTAGCTATTCTTTCTTCAGTTTCTGAACAAAAATAATATTCCCAAGATAAATTTTTATCTTAACGTCAAAAAAATTATGCTTAATACAGTCATGTGTTGTAGGAAACATTTTCTCAAAGTCCTAAAAGCTACTAATGTGAGGCATTAATCATTTTTCTTATTGAAAATAAATAAGTTGTCTAGTTTCATGAGTTTATGTCTGTAACATCTGCCTCTGGACTCATGAATCATGAAAGGTAAAAACAAGAGAACATATGGTGGCCTTTGCATATTTTCTCCAGAGAGTTCATTCTGAAGTTTTTCAGAATTTGTCTTAAAATCTGACAGTATTGCTCATCTAATTTCCATGGAGAAAGAAAAAATCCCCCTTTTCACTTCTTTTTAGAGATTAGAGAGGAAAATTGCAAGTAAATTTTGGTGTTGTATATATGTATACATCAGTTCACTTCACTTCAGTTGCTCAGTCATGTCCGACTCTGAGACCCCATGGACTGCAGCACACCAGGCTTCCCTGTCCATCACCAACTCCCAGAGTTTGCTCAAATTCATGTCCATCGAGTCGGTGATGTCATCCAAGCATCTTATCCTCTGCCATCCCCTTCTCCTCTTGCCTTCAATCTTTCCCAGCATCTGGGTCTTTTCTAATAAGTCAGCTCTTTGCATCAGGTGGCCAAAGTTTTGGAGCTTCAACTTCAGTCATCAGTCCTTCCAGTGAATATTCTAGGTTGATTTCCTTTAGTATTCTTTATAATCCAGCTCAGATTGTATTTCCTTGAAGCCTACAGATCAGTAATCTCTTCCAACAATGGAAGTGATATGATTTTTTTTTCATTTATTTTTATTAGTTGGAGGCTAATTACTTTATAATATTGTAGTGGTTTTTGTCATACATTGACATGAATCAGCCATGGATTTACATGTATTCCCCATCCCGATCCCCACTCCCACCTCCCTCTCTACCTGATCCCTCTGGGCATCGAAACATGTATATTATCTATGGTGAAACAGATCACCAGCCCAAGTTGGGTGCATGAGACAAGTGCTCGGGCCTAGTGCACTGTGATATGATATTTTTATATATTTGTTTTGTACATTCATTCATTCAACAAAGCTTCCTACATTCTGGTTACTATTGTAGATGGTGGGGACACAGATTGAACAAAATGAAGATGCACTTTAGGCAAATCACAAACAAGTAACCATTTGGGTCAGCCTCTAATGGGTATAAGAGGAAAGCAAGCATGGAATAAGTGTGTAAGGGGCTTCCCAAGTGGCTCAGTTGTGAAGAATCTGCCTGCCGATGCAGGAGATGTGGGTTCCATCCCTGGGTCTGGAAGACCACTTGGTGAAGGAAATGCTAACCACCCTAGTATTTTTTCCTGGGGAATCCCATGGACAGAGAGTTACAAGCAGATATGACTTAGAGACTAAATGACAACAAGTGGATAAGAACACTATTTTCTGTTTGGTAGCCTACGAAGGCCTTTCTGCTCAGGTGTCTTCTCTCACCTATTTATGCACTTGTCACATACTTGTCACACAGTATTTACAGCTATTTCTTTATACAACCTCCAGAGTTCCAGTTCCTCTGCGGATTGCCTGTACCTGTTCACACACATCTGCAATACTTCCCTTCACAGAGAGGAGACAGCACTGCTGGATTCTCTTTATTCCTCCTACCATGGCATATATTCAGTTTAGGATAATGATCCTGCTTAAGCTTAGCTCTGGGCTTCCTGGCTTAGCTGGTAAAGAATCTTCCTGCAATGCAGGAGACCCCAGTTTGATTCCTGAGTTAGGAAGATTCCCTGGAGAGTCCACAGGTTACTCACTCAAGTATTCATGAGCTTCCCTGGTGGGCCAGATGGTAAGGAATTCTCCTGCAATGCATGCAAGAGACCTCAGTTTGATCCCTGGATTGGGAAGATCTCCTGGAGGAGGGCGTGGCAACCCACTTCAGTATTCTTGCCTGGAAAATCCCCAAGGACAGAGGAGTTTAGCAGGCTATGGTCCATGGGATCACAAAGAGTCAGACAGGACTGTGCCACTAAACACAGCACAGCACAAGCTTAGCTCTGTTCTTTCCTCCCCTCTTTCTCTCGGGAGCCGTCTTCCACAAAGAGCCCGGCAGGTAGAAAGGCTCTAAACTATTGCTGTCTCAGTGAGTTTGTCCATATCTAGGATCTGTTACTAGGAGGCCCATCAGCCCACATACATAAGCCGCAGACTTAAACGTTGACTTAAGTTGCAGTCTTAAACGTTGACTTAAATCACAGTCTTAAACGTTGACTTCCTCATTAAAAATATAATATTTTATTCCCATTTGCTTAACTCACTTCTTTTATCTCTTTATTCATTTGAAATCCAATGAGGAAAAGGGAGGTCATTCGAAGCACCATATTTAAGAATTATGAAGAAAGGATAGGGGAAAAAAATATCTAGAAGAAGAAACAGAGACGAATGAGGAAACCATCAAGGAATTTAAACAACAGCAGCTCTTTGACAGAAGGAGAATCAACCATTGAGTTAAACATCTCTGAAATACCGAGTAAAATGAGATTAAACTACATACCCATAGAGCGGCCAACACAGAGTTCATTTGTGACAGTGGAAGAAATGGTTTTAGTGGATGTGAGAAGCACATGCTGGCTGGTACAAGATGAAGAGCGAAAGGCCGTGAAGCCTGTGCCAACAGCACGTGAGGACGACCACTTGGGGACGGAGCAGACGCTGAAAGCCGTCTGTGAAATGAAAGTGGAAGAGCGCAGGCGGGAGGCTGCTATCGCGAGACCATTAGCGTGGGGATTAAAGGTCGCGAGACCAGTAGCCTGGGTGTTAAAGGTCTTCCTGCTCTGCTGATGATCAGCCTAGCGGTGGTCTTCTTGGCAGGATGCAGCAAAACGTGGAACCGGGCCTTATTCCACGGCCCCCCAGGCCCTTTGGCCTCAGGGCCATCGAGTGAGCTGGGGGCCCAGGACAGGCTGAGGACCCGGAACAGGCTGAGGACTGTGTCTCACAGAACTCTGAAGGCCCCTTGAACGCCGGAGCCTCCCTCACCACCGCCCACCAGCCAGGTCCAGACCTGGAAGCAGCCGGGAACCTCACCCCCATCCCCGCTGTGGTCCCTGGAGCCCTCAGCAGCTGGAGGATATCACAGAACCATTAAGGTAAGAGCTTCAACCAACGTCTGTGTCTCCGTTCAAGTGTCCAAACTTGGTCCAGCGTTGATCAGTTGTCCTTCCCCAGGGGATGACCTGAGGTCAGGGCTCAGGTGCAAGGACCTTGTACATCATTACTTCAGACCCACCACTATGGCTGGGACCTCTCTCAAAGAAGGGTGAGTGTTGTGAGCTGGAGATTAACCTGATTGGTATTTACTACAAATGATGCTCTCCAGTTTAAATGAATAAGCCTAAGTACCAGCCAGCTATGAAGCTCCTCTCTGTCTGATATCTTAAAAAAAAAAAAAAAAATGAGTGTAAGACCCTTTGCTCAAAGTAGGGAAACAAGCTTAAAAGAGCAAACCAGAAAAACAGAGTAGAATCACTGGGTGTGGATCCGGGCCTATTTGAATTTCCTGTTATTTCACTGTAATACTGCTCAGCTCTGTAGTTTTTGCCAAGGATTCTCCTTAACTCAATGACCTGTCTTCCTGGACTCACATCCTCTATGAATTATCCTCCACTTCTCCCTAGTTTGACATTTTGCCCTTCATTGATGTTGTTCAGTTGCTAAATTGTGTCCAACTCTTTGCAACCCCATGGACTGCAGCATGCCAGTTTCCTCTGTCCTTCACTGTTGCCCCAAGTTTGCTCAAATTCACATCCATGAAGTCAGTGATGCTATCTAACCATGTCATCCTCTGTCACCACCTTCTTCTCCTGCCCTCAGTCTTTCCCCGCATTAAGGTTTTTTACAATAAGTTGGCTCTTGGCATCAGGTGGCTAAAGTATTGGAGTTTCAGCTTTAGCATAGTTTTACCAGTGAGTATTCAGGGTTGATCTCCTTTAGGACGAACTGGTTTGATCACCTTGCTGTCCGAGGGATTCTCAAGATTCTTTTCCAGCACCACAATTTGGAAGCATCAATTCTTTGGTGCTCAACCTCCTCTTTAATTTCTCCTTTATCTAGCCCTTCCTTAGAGAAACAGCCTTACTACCAATGACACCATTTAATTAGCTGCTACATGTGACAATATTTAGCAGTGTTCCTGACAAATAATTGCTTAATTCTAGTTAAATATTAGATTGTTTTTCTTTTTTCCTAGAGACAGTTTCCTTTGAGAGTATACTGTCCATATGAAGGAGAGCATCTTTCATACTAATGAAGGACAAATTCTTCAATAAGTGCTGTGATGCTTTGTAGATATTATACAGAGAAACAGCTGCTAATCATTATATAGAAATCTGTTTAGACTGACATCTGCCATATTCCCAATAAAAGCAAAGCACTTACCTAAACCTATGCAATGTTTTAGTAAATGCTTTCTTTGAAACTCTAGAGTACTAAATCAGAAACCTTTTGCTAAATTAATAGCAACTTGTTGAATCAAAGTAGGACTAAGTCAATAATAAGTAAGAGAGAAGAAAATTGTTGATTACCACTTAAAAAAATAAAATTACTCTCCAATTGGCATAAATTTTGTAGCTGGTCAGTGAGCACATTTCCTCTCCTCCTCCTCATAGCCATGCATTCTGGAGACTGGATATGATGGAAATGATCCATGCCACTTCTGCATTCCATTAGTAACCCCCAAATTGCTCCTTCGTGATCATTTCCCCCTCAACAAGCTGGAGGAAGACAAGCAGGACTAGCCTGGAATTCACATGTTGAAAATAATGAATGTGCAAGAAGGGTTCTAGGTCCTTGAAGATCCTCTTAGAGTAAATCTACCCAGTGGACAGGACTGTTTGGGACTTCATGTAATTAATAAACAAATTCAGGTGGTAAGTCCACCATGGTCTGGGAGTTTATCTTTTGAGCTGTAAGCATCACCTGCACCAGTCGTTCCATATCCTGTCTTTCCCATTTCCCCAAGCTGAAATATACATGTATGTTCGAGAGCCAGCCTTCATCAGTCTTAGGATGACAGCAGCTGGGTCTATGAGCAGAGTCTCCTGTAACAGTGGCACCACGAACTAATATGAAGGCCCTCCTGCACCTAGACTCCTGTTTGAAGGAAAATCAAATATCTATTATTTTTGATCTGCTATGTTACGGGAGCCCTTTCTTCCAAAGATTCACCCTATACCCTAAATCTGTAGTGCTCATGGCTTTGATTGCAACAGGATTGCCTCTAAGGCATGTTAAAACCTAGGTTTTTGTTAATCATAGATGTTAACCCCAAGCTTAAAACAATAAATGCAAAGATAACATTATTTTGTCATAATTGCTGAAATAGATTTATGCATAATAAATGAGGCATGAAAGAATATAAAGCTAAACCTTAAAATACAGTTGTGACACTAAACATGCTACACATCAGTTACACTTAGAAGAAGTAGGGCCTGTGCACTGTGATCAAAACACTCTTCAAAGTAGCAAACTTGGCCTTTGTCTCAACTGTTCTACCTTTTCAGTCTAGATAAATTTCTCCAGGAATGATAATGACATTAGAATCATGGCTTCTTAATATTTAGATATAAGTATCTTCATTTGACTCCTTGGTCACTTTTATTTGCTTTAAAGCAGTAGAAATTTTAAGGACGTCTGAGAGCCAAATGTAAACACATTCTCATGTCAGTGAAACCAAAGCCAAATTCACAACCTACTGATAATATGTATAGACTAATATATGGAATAGAAAAAATACTAGAACAAAATGAACCAGGGCATTATTTTTGACCCTGGAATTAAGGGATAAGTCAATTCATAATGTGGGTTTTATCCTCTTTATTTACAAAATGGCAGCAGTGCTTTTTGCTGTCATCTCACTAAACTGTTTTGTGTGTGTGTGTTCAGCCACATCTGACTCTTTGTGACCCCATGGACTGCAGCCCACCAAGTTCTGTCCATGAGATATTCCTGGCAAGAATACTGGAGTGGGCTGCCATTTCCTTCTCCAAGCTTGTATTAAGTAGGTGGAAATGTAAAGTTCTCAGCAAACATGTTTATTTGGGTAACTAAGTTCATAATTTAAGTATGTTAAGCCAACAAATTTATTTTTAAACATTAGATGTTTATCTAGAATAAGAAGCAAGCTAAAGAGGAAAGAAGTTACTTGATTTGTACTTGTCTGTGTTCAGATTTACTCTATTACTCTTTCCTTTGCACAACAAAATTAGCAAAATACTGTTTGCAAACATGGCAAATCAAAGTATCCAAATGAAAACATTTACTCCAAAGGAAATGGTTTTGCCTTACAGACAAATTAAAAACCACCTGTGCCAGCCTTCGTGGAAAACATTTTACAGCAACCAGTTTGTCCACAAATGAGTCATTTCAATGAATGTAATACATAATACTGCTGGTGGCATTATTTTGACAGGCTAGGTTTATTAAGGTCATTGAGTTAAAAAAAATAAACATTATGTGTAATGTTTATAAACATTATGTGTAAAATAATTGAAAAATTGCTCTAAAAAGCATCTTTTAAGTTCAGAAGGAAGAGTTTTTCCTACACTAAGTTGAGTTTCTTGCATTTGCTATTGTAACACAGACATAAAACATAGATGATACAGAATAGTGCATAGTAGTTTAGGTTAAGAGTTTTACAGTTCAAAGCAGAAAATCCAACAGGAGTGCTATTGGCAACAAGCTATCATTATATAAGATAAATTAATAAAAATATGGAGATGTACTCAACAGTACTGACTGAACTCCAGTGATGAACAAAGCAGTGTCCAGACTGCTAAAACTTCAGTACTGAATAAATCATTGCTTCATGGAGCTCACCATCTAATAATGAAGAACAGATACTAAACAACAAATTATGTTACTGACATTCAGTCATAATTTTAATAACTTAATTGTGTATTTCCTCAGGTGACTTAAATTACTTCATTTTAATTTGAGTCAGTTTAAAAGTATGCATTTTTAATTGTGTCATACATGACTATAGTAGTTGGAAATGTAACAGTAAACTGGAAAAAAATAAATCTCTGCTCTAATAAAGTTTTAATTTTCATGAGAGGCTGAGAATCCTAAAATTTTATTTTATGTAGACTATTACTAGGTGCTTCTTCATGGTTCACAGCTTTATCATGGTGAAGAGTTTTGCATAGCTCAATGAAGCTGTGAGCCATGCCATGCAGGGTCACTGGTGATTAGTGCTATGAAAGAAGATAAATGAATTTAGGAGAATGAGAGTGTTATAATATTCAAGAGCAGATTTAGGAAATTATTTACTGAGATGAGTCAAATATTGAAGGAGCTGTAGGATGTGGAAAATGGGAAGATATTTGGAATGTATTTCCAGGCAGAAGAAATAAGAAGTATTAAAGTCCATAAGGCAGAAGCATGTTCAGTGAAAAGCAACCAAGTTCAGTAGGGTGAAGAAAGGTATCAGGGGAAGATGAATAGAAGATAGGGAAATAAAGTGTTATGGACTGAAAGTGTCCCCACAAATTGATACATTGAACTCCTAACTCCCAATATGATGATACTTAGATATGGGACTTTGAGGAAGTAATTAGGGTTCAGTTCAGTTGCTCAGTTGTGTCCTCTACTCTCTGTGACCCCATGCACACACCAGGCTTCCCTGTCAGTCATCATCTGACACTATTATATAAATAAGATGAAGGAAGTACATGTGATATAAATTACTTTAGAAAACCCTAATGATGACAGACTCTTAACAAGCATGATTTTAAAAACAGAATCTGAGGATAATAAAGTGGGAAGTGTTGCTAATGCAGTCA